GTTTGACAGAAACTCATTTAGGTTTGAAACAACAAGATGAGTAAATGCCCATTGACTTTTTCTTTTTATTTCTTTGAGTGAACTACTGCTTTTAAACAAGAAAAAAATGTAATACATTGTGTTTAAGGGTGCACTGCAGGATTCTCTCTATCATCCCCCTTTCTCTCTTTGTCCTATCACAACAAACCAATTAAATCATTAGGCTTACCGTAGTGATGCAGTAAGGCAAAAACAAGGGTTTGAACACTGATTTTTTTTTTTTTTTATGTATTGGTTCAACAATTCATTTCTGACTAAAATAAACCCTCAGTTGTGTACCTTATATAACACTATATTGAACTTTTTCATTTACTCACAATATTTGAAAATTTGCCCAAATTTCTTCATTTAATTGAACTGTTCAGTATAAATAGCATGCTATAAACATTTACCACTTTTACCATTTACCATGTTTAACATTTCTGAGAATCAGCAGCTTAGGGAAAAAAGGTAAATCCTTCTCCAGAGATCATTTAGTGGACTCCGAGTTTAAAAACGGACCACGTGCGTAAGGAGATTGTGTCACTGTTCTCTCTTGAGTGTGAATTCATGTATGCGTCACATACAAGTAATTTATACAGAGTCATATTGAGATGCATACATCAAAACTAGCTGTTTCTCACCCATATTCTTCTGGTCCAAACCAGAAACATTTGCATTCAGCATCAACTCACAATGAATGTATAGCAGACAATTTAAAACATTAATACGTCAATAACACGTTGATGTATGCCTCCCTTAAACTTTGATTGTTATGGCTAAAACTGGGTCCATCATGCTTATATAAAAGAATGGTCAGTAGGTCATTCATACTTGATTTGTGAAAACAAATTCATACAAATGCTTTGTTCTTGCAGATGTTTTATGTATGCCATTACTATCCATCTTTCTGATTAATGAACATTTGCTTTAGCTTAATAGGACCTTCGCCAGCCTCTTAACAAAACGTGCGTTGGTCGCTGTATATATATACGTTTAGATATGTTTCTAAATAGGTTCTCCTGCTCTCCATTTCAATTTGCAGCCTTTTTCAAAACCCAAACCCTTTTCACTGGGATGTATTGTGCCTGATTAGCTTCTTCTGAAGTACCTCACATCCTTGCTATGCTCTTAATGCTGTCGGCAGCCATCGAAGACCTTGCAGCACGGTGGAAATGATCATTCCCCCACTATTTTTAACTGGTGAATAAAACCTCCTAACCTTTCCCTGTTCACTCCACAGCACATGTCTGAAAGGTAACTGCCCCAATAACGCACCACGACATGTGTCAGGTACGCTAACCGAGACCTGCGCTCCAAGAAATCAAGTTAATTTGATAGTTCTCTGTTAGAGTATGCAGAGTGAAGAGCACTTATAAAAGTGTTAGCTTCATTGTTCCTGCTTTGAAAACACACATAAGTTCATAGTTGGAGCTAATGAGCCCATATGAATTGGATGATATAATTTTTTTGAAATGCTGGAAACATGGTTAAGTGGGATAATAGCACAGACAGCTTCTGCTGTGTGCTTCCATTTTTATAGATGAACAACTAACTAAACAAATAAACAACCCTGGAGTCAAGCTAAGTCAACATGCCTGTAAAAGTAGTTCTGGATCTGCAAAACACTGGCTCAATTCTTGTTTTGTTTTCCAGATAAATAAAGCTTCAACTGAACTGTCATATATACACATTAGCCAAGGTATTATAGCAAAATCTGGGTCATGATGCAATAATGTGATGTTTAGTTTGATATATTTTTACTCATTCATCTGCATGGGCTTCATTGCTATGTTATATTCAACCTGATCTCATGAAAGTGCGTATAAATAGTACGCCAAATAAAAACGAAAACTCGTAGTACTGATACGCAAAAATGAACTTTGGCGTGTATATGCTACGCGATGGGTAGGTTTAGGGTTGTGGGGTAGATGCGTATCATATGTATGCGAAAACTGCGTATTATATGCACGCCAAACATGCGTATCATATGCATGCCAAAGTCCATTTTTGCGTATCAATACCACAAGTTTTTATTTGCCGTACTATTTATACACATTTTCATGAGACCGGGCTCGTTATATTACAGTTATATGTCACTCTGTGTTTGATCAAGTAGAAATAATAAAGAATGTGAATGGAGCAGAATGACAGGAATTTCCAATCACCCAATTTTGCTCACATACTCGGTCTTAAAAATATAAATTTTTGCTGTGAGAATTTTGCTAGTTTTGAAGCATACACAGGTACTTCTGTAGTACAAAGCTGTCTGTGTTTCTCTTGTGAGTTTTATTTACCCACTTCAAACAGTATCTTAAACCAAGAGGACAATGAATTCCATCCCTGCATCATATTTTGGCTGGTTTTTTTTATCCCCAAATGCTGGCACAATATTTGTACCTCATGTCTTGAACACTGTCAACATTTAATATCATCCATGGTAGACTTTCCCTTCATATGACCAATATTGATTGAGAGTTGCAGTTCATTTTCTATGAGCACCTCTTCAAAGACACTCAATAAAATGAAACTTTTGTTGAGGCGAAAAAAAAGTGGAACAAGCCTAAATATTGACAAAATATATTTTACTAGGGCTTGCTGTTCCTCGGATTTTATCAAGCTGTACGGGAGCTCTAACCCGGCTGTGAATTGTGAATGAAGGTCTGCACGCTAGTGCATGTCCACCGAGCCCCATGGCTGTTCTAGTGAGTGTGGTACTGACTCAATTTCCTTCTCAGGCGCCTCACCTGAATTTGGTGTCAGAAAGAAAGAAAGATGCATGCAAAGCTGAAGAAAGACAGACAAAAGTATGAGGTAAAGAAGGCAAGAATGAAGACAGAAAGACAAAGAAGGGTGCACGCATGGGGGAAGGTAGAAAAACAGAAGGAAACAGAAAGGAAGGCAAGAATGAGGGAAAAAAGATAGTAGAAAGACAAGGTTGCATGACAGAAGAAAGAAAAAGCAAAAGTAAAGGAAGGAAAAAAGTATGGTTTGAAGGAGTAAATATTAAAGTAGGAAGGCAAAAAAAGTAGGAATGAAAGAAGGAAAGCAAAAAGAAGGACAGGAAGGAAAGAAAATGAATTAAGTCAACAAGGAATGAAAGACAGTAAGAGGACAAAATTGCACAGGGAAGGAAAAAATAAGGGAAACAAAGGAGGAGGGAGGAAAGGAAGGAATGATGGAAAACAAAAGGGAAGCAAAAAAGAAGGAAGAAGAGATGAAAGAAAAGGAAGGAAGGCAAGAAGGAAAGAAAGACAGTAAGAAGACAAAGTTGCACAAGGAAGGAAAAAAAGTAGGAAGAAAAGACTAAGGAAGGCAAGAAGTAGGAAAGAAAGACAAAGACAGACAAAAAAATTGCACAGTGGAAAGAAGGAAAAGACAATATGAAGGAGGGAAAACAACAAGTAAAGAAAAAGGAAGGAAGGCCAGAAGGAGGAAAGAAAGGAAACAATAAGAAGAAAAATAAGTTGCAAAGGGTGGGAAGCACAATGAAATGAAATAGGCTAAGGAAAGAAGGACTGATAAAGTAGGAAGGAAAGAAAAATGAAGGAAGGCAAAGAGGAGGGAAGAAAAATGAGGAAGACAAAAACAAAGTTTGAAGGAAGGAGGGAAGGAAACAAGTAGAGGAAACAAATAATGCTTGAAGAAAGGAAGGTAAACAAGGAAGACAAATAATGTTGGAAGGGGAAGGAAGGAAAAAGAAAAAAGGAAGGAAAAAGAAAAGGACGACAGACAGCATGTTGTAAGGGGGGAAAGAATGGAAATGACAGAATAGGAGAAAAAAATAAGGTGGAAGTAAGAGTTATGGTCCATGCTTAAAAAAAACTATTCAGGTGTTAGCTGGTTCAAGATGGTTTAACCTGTCTCCCATTCCAACCAAGCTAGTTTTTTTTGCCATTTTTCTAGCTGAAAAAACCCCATCTTGAACCATAGAAACAGCTTAGCCTAACTATCTTGGCCAGGCAGGGAGACCAGTAGGCCTAGGATTTATTTTTGGATAAGAACCATAAAAGCTACCAAATGTTTGTCCAATTAAAAGTTGCTTAATAATCTGCATTCAACTGATCAGTAAAACCATACAACTCCATTCAATGGACCTGGAGAAAACCACAGAGAACGATCGCACAACACCCGGCCCAGACAAACCTCCAAACACCCTCGCTGCATGTAGCTATCGGAACATAATCTAAAATTACGCAGTGAAGCTACCTCATTAGCATACTCATGCACTGGAGGAAAATGCACTAATTATGTTTTACTTTACACTGATGACCGAGATGTATTCATCTGCAAGGACTGCGGCTTTGTGTGTCTGCGTGTTCGGCCAGGGGAAAAGGGAGGGGGGGGACGGATACGTAATAATCATTCTCCCTAGATTAAATGGAGGCCATTAGACAGATATTAGGGGAACAATTGCGAGTATTGGGCCAGGCTGGCCGCTAGCGCTCTTCACTACGATAAACGAGTGAGTCACGGCTCTGGCTAATGGTTTATCAGCCGTGTAGATATAGGACCGTAGCGCGGCTGCAGAGGGGAGCGCACCGGGAGGCCTGGCTGCGGATATTTTATCGGCCTACATGTCTCCGGCTTCTATCCCCTTCTCTCCCAGCATTACCGGGAAAAAGTCATTACCGCTGTAATTATTTTCAAGAAGATGTACTCAGAGAACTCACAAATATCAGCGAATTGCTTTCTTTGATAAATACTATAACATTCAGTGGGGTTATTTTGCTGCACGATGCCGTGCCTTTTTTGTGTGTGGTTTTGTCATGTTATTTTCCAGGGTATGTCCATTTAGAAGTAGGATGTTTTCCACGCGTTAATTGGTCGTAATTAAGGACATGCAAGCGCCACAGAAAGGATGAGTGCGGTACACATTGTGAGGTAGAGGCATGTTCGAAGGCGAACGTGTGGGCTGTTTCTGTCAGAGAGGCACAAGGCAAACAAAGCTGCTGGGTCATGTCTGACTCTGAGAGCGCCATGAATAAATCTCTGATTGAGCCCAATTATCACAGCAGACATATCTGACAGAAACAGAGGAGGAGAAAAAACGAGTAAGACCTATTAATATTTGCAAAAAAATAAAAATTAAATAAAATCGCGCGCGCGCGCGCGCGAAAAAACAACAAAACATCAAGTAAGCGCGAAAAGAGAACAGGCAAAACAATATGGTGCCGAAAGATCCAGAGGCGAAATTATACCACCGTGTGTCAGCACACAAAATGAAAGGAGGCACCTGTTTATTATAGTCACCTCCCTGGAAGAAGCTTATCTCTCCTGATGGGACCCCTACTGATGAGAGGAGACCCGACTAATCTTTATGTGACCTGTCCCTAGCCGCGGGGGACGGGGAGAACACAACGCGTTCCCGGCGGTACAATAGGCACATAGAGATTCGTATTGACAGGTTGCGGTCGGGGGTATCGTTTTGCTCCCTGGGATGGCATAATCACATTATGGATGAAAGTGAAGCGTTGTCTGTATTAATAGGCATTGAGTCAGGTGGGTTTTACCCCGGTGAGTCCCTGTACCGGAAAGAAGGGTGGAAAACATTCAGTCGGTATGACTAGTGCAGTGCTGCCACCATGTGGCGAGTGCGCGTGTGCGTATCTTCATATTAAAGGCACGCTGGTTATATATTAAAAGCACCGAGGAAGTAAAATAACAAATGTTGTTATTTTTCAGAACATCTGAGAAGGATTCAAGAAGTTTCTGTCACTTTATATGCCAGTCAGTCACTTTATTTATGTCCGTCAAAAGCACTCGTACATATTTCATTGCAATGCTTTTCTCCTTTAAGGCCAGAGGAGGGCAGTACTGATGACAATAGGTGCTCTTTAATGGATGGTCAAAAACACTTAATATTGGCATACAATCCCTCGTTTTTTTGTCTGTAGAGACTTACATGTCATGTTTTTTTGCTGGGATCAGACTGACTCCAAAAAGAATGTTATTAAAATCTGCGTGATTAGTTAGCTGTAAAACAGGGATATTTTTGATCAGATCTGCCTGTTTGGTTTTGATTTGGTCAGAGGATATTATTATGATAATTAAAAAAAGATTTAATTTTACAATAACTAGTATTTTTTAAATTTGTTTTCCACATTAACATCATTGCAGTCTTTGGGACCCAAGTATTAAAACACTAAATCAATCCCAACAGAAATAAGGGCTTGTTATTATATTATATTATATTGCAATTAAATTTTCTCTGTTTTTTTTCTTATGCACAGCTATTTACAGTAAGAACACACAACAATGGCTGATTTTCTTGACCAACTAGGCTACAACAAGACAATTGTTAATGCAAACAGCTAAAAAAGCAATCTCTCTCTGTCATATCCAATTAATGTTTATATAATTTGCCCACATGAGCCAGACTAATGATTGAAGTTATTGATTTCTCGCTCTACTTTCAGGGAAGCCTTCTCTGGAGGACGAGATCTGGGAGTTTATCCTCAAACGCAGAATAACACCATGCTGTGTCAGGTATTGGCAGCTAAAACACATACATTTGCTTGCAGTTTGACAGGTTTTGAATGTATTTCATGTTTCTGACTAAAAGGATGTAAGTGTTTGCTTTATAATGTTTTGTCTTTATGAAAAATGCACTTTGCACGACGGTAGATCTGTTAAAATAATTATAAAAATAATAATTAGAAACAACAAAAAAAAACCTGTTCAATGTTACAAAGCAGCTAATAATATTAGCTATTCATTATTCTTGGTGTGACATAAAATAAAGTGTGAGTCAGTATTTATTGTTTGCAAACACATGCTTAAGACAGTTTATTCAGCATTAAATGCTTTATTGTGAATAATTCCTTAGCTGACATGAGGTCTATTGGAAATGCACAAGAAGGGAGCTACAATTACACATAAATAAATATTCCTGACAGTGCTAACACAAAGGCTCTCAACATACATTAACCATAATCCCCACGGTTCCTGCTGTTTGACCATTTAATAAAACTCAATTAAATGTAGTTGGTCATAGTGCTTTTGAGCGGAGATCTGTTACACAGGCACGGAAACCGCAGGCTCAAGAGGTGTGTTTGTTGTGTGTAGGAAGTGTTAACACACCAGAAGCCAAAACAAAAGGAATCAAATTCTCATTCATTGACGTTACACAAACACTCCATTGAATTTGTATCTGGAGGCCTGTTTGATGCACAACAACAATCGCAGCGCCCCCATGTGGTTCGACATTGTCCCCGCCCATTTGTGGTTTCACTGCCACTGTTTTAGGAAATGAAAAATATTAGTGAAACAGTTGTGTTGTACTTTGAAGGCTGACATCAGACTGTTTAGCATTTTTGAAGCTTGATCAAAGCAAAACTAAGGCATTTACACATCACATATCTTTATCTATTCCAGCAGCTGCGCTGTGATTTTATGCAATGTTTTAGCATTCATGCAATCAGATTAATTATTTATATGCTTGAAATTGGCTGCTAGTGTCTTTCTGTATCTCACTACTAGGTGGCAATAGTTAGCTTTCTAACTGCTTGAACAGTATTTCAATATTTTGCATGACCACAGTAGAATAGAGAGTGACTCAGACTTGCAATGATGTCACAAAGCTGAGAAGAAAAAGAGACACATGCATTTCTTATCTACATAAGTCAGATTTAATGTACACTATTCATAAAGTTTAAAATAATCATACATTGACGCTTAATGTGGATGCCAAATGTAAATGAATGTGAATGAAAATAAGGCTGTCCATTCAATAGGTTGTACAACCTTAGGGGCAAATTCACAGTTAAACCATTTAAATGCAATGCACAAACAAAAATACAGTTTAGCCAGGCGCTAAATGCTGTAATAGTGCTGCGTTGTATTTAAGACATTGACATTCTTTTCAGTGCAAACACGCCACCTTTTTATCTAAATTAGGGTCATTATAGATGCATTTAATAGTTTTTCGCTATTACATGATTGCATAATTCTTTTAGTTAAAGGAATATTCAAGTTGTACAATATATTGTACAACAGGCCATCCAAGTTGTACAATATATGATATTTTTCAGCCAAAGAGAAAATAAGATTTTGGAGGAAAACATTCCAGGATTTTTCTCCATCTAATGCAAGTAAACGGGGCTCAGCGTGGACCATTTTTGATGGTTCAAAATCTATATTTAGGCACCTTCAAAGTAATCCACACAACCCAGCTGGCAAATAAGGGTCTTCTCTAACATTTGTAAGTATATAATTTTTTATCTTATTCTGAAAATTACTGATCTTTTGACTAGAGAAGACCCCTATTTGTCAACTGGGGTTGTTTGGATTACTTTGAAGCTGCCTAAATATGAATTTTGGACTGTCAAAAATGGTCCATGCTGAGCACCATTCACTTGCATTGGAGAAAAATATTGGAATGTTTTGCTCCAACATCTTAATTTCTCTTTGGCTGAAGAAAGTATGTCATACACATCTTAGATGGCCTGGGGGTGAGTATATAATCAGGACATTTTAATTTTTGGGTGAACTATTCCTAAAATAACGCATACAACGTTTGTGAATGAACTGCATGCACAATTCATTCTTAATGAAGTCCCATCTTAAAGTGAAATTTCCACAACTGATAACTTGCGTTTTTTTTTTTTTGGAAAACCTTATTTTCAGTGTTTTGTTGGCTGAATGTTTCACCAAGGTACTTAACAGTACAACCTAATGAACTAATCAGTCAAATTAGCCCTGATTAAGGTCCATGGTGTGATTAATGTAGCGTTTGTGGGTGGTATTAAGTGCTTGGTATGTGCTCATATTTTGACACCATTGAAATTGCAGTAAATTAACAGCATGGCGTATTTATTTGCATGTTCCTCTGTCTAAACAACTCCCCCTCTCTGCAGCAGTCTGGTCTGAAACATGTCATGAATCCAAGGGAACGGAGATGTTGTCCAACCTATGGAAGGAAAACAGAGAGGGAGAAAATGAAAGAGAAAGAGAGGGCATTGTGCTTCTAGCAAACTGACAATTCCAGTGACTCTGTCAGACAGCAGTTGACTGCTACTCTGCTATTCCTGTTAGAGGGCTGAACCCACTATGCCTTGTTGGCACAGATATTTTTAGCCCTGGCGTTTGGCAGAGAGACCAACACTAAGAGTGATGGGGCCACAATTATATTTAGATAAAACTACAACTAAAATGATCAAATATATGGAAGCCCGTTTCTGCCACAAAATAATAAATAAAATAAAAATGTAATTGTCATTTTTTATCACACAATTCTGACATTTTTTCTCGCAATTATAAAGTCACATCTCTAAGAAAAAAGTCAGAATTGCAAGATATAAACTTCGGACTTACCTTCTCATATTTCAGAGTTTACTTCTCGGAATTCTGAGTTTATATCTAGCTAATTCAGACTTTTTCCCCTCCGAATTATGAGTTTGCATTTTTGTTACATTTTAGTGTTTTTTTTTTTTGTTACCACCACAAAATAAAAAAGGTGATTGCGACTTTTCATCTCACAATTCTGAGAAGTCCGAAAAGCCTGAATTGTTTGAGGTAAAACTTAACATAAACTCAACAAGAGATAAACAAGCTTCCATACAAATGTGACCAAAAATTAAAAATTTGCAACAATTTAAAATATAGGCAGGTGGGAAAATATGCATCCAAATGCAGTATCATCAGTGTGCTATTCAGTTTTTTTTCTGCAGAAAAAAATGGTAAACACAGAGCAAGTTTGATTTGCAAAGAAGTGAGTCATTTTAGCAAAAAGATTTACAAAGCAGCTTCAAACCCACTCATGAGATTACGATTTGAATCAGACTCACTCAGTGAATCGTTCAGAATATAGCCTATACTGTATATATATATATATATATATATATATATATATATATATAGTAATTC